CACTAAAGGACCTCACTCCCAAGTGCACTCTGACTTGTCAGAAGCACTCATGACTGCTGTGCTGTGTTTGTGAGAAGAAAGTCTTAACCCTTTCTCTCTGGGCTGCTCACTTATGGCATCTTGCCGGCCAGTCACTCAGTCTCTCTCTCCTGGAGGATTGCATGGCAAGTCACCCACTGTCTCACAGGAGGAACTTGCAAATACAGTGATCGTGAAAGCCCTAGGTAAGGAGAGAGGGAAAAGCAAGCCCTTCATGACTGAGGTTAGACAGCTTTTATGATCATGACTTGCTGTCATTAGCTTGGTAATTAAGTCTTACTGTTTGCAGACATAAACCACTTCTAAATGAGATCACAAAAGGTTTCTATAACATTAATGCTCCTTTTTCCAGGGAAGTGTAACTTCTTCATGAAGCCAAACTTCTGAGACTCTTCTTTAAGTATATAATTTAGGAGCTGTGCATCTTAATTGCCTGGAAATTTTGTTCTAAATTGTTGGAACACAGATTGAATGTAGTATTCCATGCTACCTATTTCCTTTTGTCTCATATTTCTGATAGCTCCAGAGGTCTAATACTCTAAAAGTTGCAGCCCCTTTGTAGTGGTAATCACTTTGCACAGGAAGCAGGAGTATGGTCTGATGCCCATATTTGTACATGCTACTACCATTGTTTTTTTCTGAAGAGCTAAGACTTCTTAGGGGTGCTAATGGTGCAGTGTTCAAAGTGCTTGGTTACTAAGCGAAAGGTGGGTGATTTGAAACCTCCAGCTGCTCCATGGGAGAAATATGTTGATGTCTGGTTTTATAAGTATTTATGGTCGTGGAAACCCTATGGGGCAGTTTTACCCATAGTGGTTACAAGTTGGGTTGCTAACCAACTGATGGTCAGTAGTTCAAAACCACCAACCACTCCCCAGGAGAAAGACAAAGGCTTTCTGCTCCCATAAAGAGTCATAGTCTCAGAAACCCACAGAGACAGTTCTCCCTTGTTCTGTAGACTCTCTATGAGTCAGAATTGACTCAATGGCAGTGAGTTTGTTTTGAGATTATAGGGCCTATATCAGTTGGAATTGGCTTCATGGCAATGAGGTAGCTCAATTTTATGGTGTATTTATTTTTACAGAAAATGAAAACCTGTGAATGTTAATGCTGGGGTTAAAGGACTTATGATAAATTATTTCACTTATTCTGGAAGATACCAAACTATAGGGGATACAGAGAGGATGGTTTATAGCATGGGGCCAAGTGAAAGGGGATTCATTATAAAAGAATATGAGAAAACATTTTAAATTGTGATGGTGTTACATGACTATGCACATTTGTCAAAACTCGTCAAATATGGGTGATTTGTAGTATAGCTAAATTATGCCCATTAAAGCTATAAGAGAAAGAATAGGTTTATTTACATTGCTACTGTAGTAGTATCATACCCTAAACTTTAGGGAAAATAGTGTTTGTTTTTAACTATGAAAAAACTGGATGAAAAATAATGGAATTGTTTCTA